AGATCAATAAAACCGTTTTTATGGCCATAGCTTTGAGATAGACGGTCGCGATTCTGGTCTTGTTGATTGGTATAATAATGTTGTGTTCACTATAAGTTTTGCATGTAGGCAGAGCAACGGGAAATTGGCGCGTATATTTCAGATGATCAGTCTGAGAACTTTCACTGTTAGTACAGGGCACTTCGGTATTCATACTATGAGGATAGAAATACTTTAGTGGCTTTAAATATGTTAGTTGAATATTTTCGACTCTGATTTAAGTTTTTTTTTTATCGTTGACTAATCTTTAGGACCTATTTTATTTGATGATGACTGTATTTTTTTTTACATCAAAGAAAGTAGCTTTCTTTTGTCATATTTGTCACGTTTCTTTCAGATGTCGGTTTTGTCATTAGCTCCGCTGTTTCACCGAGATAAAACCAATGAACTTAACCTAAAAACACGATTACACACTGCCTGAATATTTTTATCTGTTTCCGTAAGACTAGCGGTGTACACTTTTGAGATAAACAGTCTGAGCTACAAAGTTATTTATAAGCAAGGGTTATTACGGGCGTGCCCTCGTAGCTACGTTAACCTGCCACCTAGAACCGTTAGTTTAGTAGGTACTTGTAGATAGGAATCAGGAGAGATTATTCCCTTCTAACATGGATTTTAATGCCGACTTCTGTCATGGATTAGTGTAGTACTAAATACCATTATACCTTTTACGGTATGTTTAATAAGATAATTTTGGTATTAGAACCATTATACCTTTAATAGATAATTTTGGTATTAGGATATTGTATCAAATATCACTTTATAACCACTAATTTTAGAAAATAATTAATAAATTAATGAGTTAGAATAATATGTGCAATAAAAGCTAGCTTTTAGACATTATTCTGCGTATTATTTTTAGTCGTATGAACTGTGGCTATAATTTAAATTATTATTATCATGATTTATACATATAATTAGTAATTACAGATGTGCTTTATTTAAAGATCATTTGAACGCATAAGCATGCATTCATGCAAATAAATGTAATTAAATCGAGTACATAGGGTTCACCCAAACCTTTTCCAAATGTTTGTACCTTTGGATGTTTACCGTTTAGTTTTAACTCATGAAACAGATTTTTCTCTTAGATGGCGGTCAAAGAAATATAAAACAAATCACATTTGATTAGCAGAGTAATATTGGACACATTTAAACGTATCGTGAGAATTATTCTATCGCGTGGTTACAGTTTGGATGATATCGCCAGAGACAACCCTAGTAAGCTACAAAAATGGCCATTGAAATGTAATATCCCAACAAAAGTAACGGGGGGGGGGGGGGGCGGCAGGGCAATAATAGTTCATAAGAGAAAATATGTGATCTTACCTTAAAATTACAAATACGGTACTATGAATTCATATTATAATCTGATTGCTAAATCTACATGGCACGCACCATGTGAGTTGATAATAAATCGATTTCGTGTTCAATAAAATCAATAAATGTAAATTGTACAATGATCAAACTGTACTAGCACCGTTATTGCATTTACGGGCAGTACCCGTTGATCGTACACATTCCCCATTTTTGATCGGAGGGAATTTATATTTTAGTACAAACAGCTTGTTGTAACATACCATGGATGACGTTTGATAGAATTAAATTTCCATAATTGTAAGACACGTATCTATAGTCAAGAGAAGTAATTTCTTGAGAAAAAGTCATAATTTAAGTAAATATTTTTAAACAATATTCGAGAAAAGAAAACAAACTAGCTAATAATAATAGTATTCTAAATACGGTGACAAGTTACGGTAGATGGTAAACGAAAATAAATAAATTTTTTTTTTGGTGGTGCTTAATATCCTATTACCAATAATCACACTTTTATGATTATTGTATTTATAATATGGCTTAAATTAATTCTGAAAGAACAAATATTTTATGCTCGTTGTCACGTGACCGCAAACAGAGCGTGAAGCCACGCCCTTTTTTAGAGAATTAGACCTTATGCATAATAAGATTTAATTCTCTAATCGAATAATATATAGAACGATATTAGTTTTAGAGGGACGTGACGTCATGTCAGAAGTTGGCGTTTTTGCGAGAAATTTTGACAATTTAATTCATTTTTATGATTTAACTTATTACATATATTAATGATACTTTTTCACGTATTTTTTTAAGATATATATCATGTATATCTAGAATAAAAATATAAAAAAGTTTTCTTCACCGCCAATCATTCAAATTCTTGTTAATTTTTTTATGACATATTCTCAAGTAATAACTTCTCTCGACTATAGATATGAGTGTAAGTAATTAGTGGATATTCCTGAGCAACGTGAGCGAGATCCGTGCTGAGAAGGAAATAATTAATGGTCATTTGTTGCCATTGGCTTACTTGACTGGTTAAGTATTACGTTGGCCGCTGCAGTGCGCGGAACATATTTCAGTGCATTTAGATGGACACTTCACCGCATGTGGTCGCCGATCATTAACAAGGTGACGTCCACTTTCTTTATAAACAATGTTTATGGAAACAATTGAAGATCGAGAGATCTCACAAAATTATTTGTGTTCGCTTTGCATAAATCAACACAAATGTTAAAGTATAGGCATATGTTCTTAGCCATGTATTTGGTCATAGGTTTGAGTCCCATATACAGTGCAAATATATGCTTTTGTCAATTATTTCAGACTAGTTTTAGACTGTTATTTTTTGTCATTAATAGAGAATTTTATTCTCGTAATGAATTAGGTGCTCAAATTTTTTCCTATTGTTTCCCACATTTACGAAGATAAAAAAATGTATTTAAATATCAAAATGATAATATTTATAAAGCATTTTCATATTTATTTTGTAAATAATAAACAAAATGCTGAGTCACCGACAATAAGTATATCATAAGTAACAATCTTTTTTTAGGTTAAATAAAAAAAATGTGAATATGATTTACCGTAATGGAAACAGTATTAAATATTCAGTTTTCCTGTTTTTATTTTATGTTCACTACCTGGACTACCTGGACCTGGATAAATTTTAGAACTCACATTCAACTAAATATATTTAATTATACGAGAAATTATTAAAATTTATGTAATATAAATAAGCAGTCTATCATCAGGAACTGATCGCACTTGAGACTTTATTAATTGACTTTACACTAGATATCACAACCTGTCTAGAGATCAAGTTGAGTGACAATCATACCACGACACTGTGTTATCATATCGCGTCGTTACAAGGAGTTCCTTGAAGGCATTAACCTTTCTTTCAAGGAAGCATTTAAGGGCAAGCTTCAAGTAATAAAATATTGAAATATTAGGAAACACCATTACCAAACATTGTATTACCATAAATGCGAATTTTTGGTCCTTGTGATCGGTGAATATCTGACGGACAATGTTGGTCTTTTACACAAAATATATTGGAAAAATCTCCATCAGGTGTGAACCGAGTTTCAATTCTCTGAATGTCATAAAGCTTAGTGTGTTTTTTGTCTCAAAAAAAAAAGGGTATATGCATTTTTTTCGTTTTACAGGATTGTTAAATATTAAATTAAAATTAGTGATTTTTCAGTGTACCTTATTTTGTAAACTGGTAAAGTTATTCTAATTATACATTGGCGTTTCATATCATATCTACCTAATGCGACGTTTTGTGAGGTTAGCGGTTCCCGGGACCGCAAACAATTGCACCGTTGCCGTTGATTGATTTAATTTAAATATTTTTCTTCCAGTAAAATAAAGAATAAAATTGTTTCATTCAATAACAGTACAGTCAAATAAAACAATGTTTACCGTAAAATTAAAAACGATATTTTTATTAATTTACACCTGGTCCCAGATGGTGGAAGAAAAACATTGAAATTAATGAATCCGGCGATTGGGACCGCGGTTCCAGTAAATATGATCCCAGTCGCCGGAACCTCCACTATGTAATACAATTTAGTACTGCAAAATAACTTTAAACGGTTTGGAAAAATCATACCTAGATATCGATTACGCCATTTGGACAGGGTGAGCTCAATTTTTTTGTCGTACATCAGTAAAAATATTGGAAAATAAAAAGTGTGTGTCTGTCCTAAGATCACTCGCTACATTATTAAATACACTTTCACATATTTACTGATAATACTGGCTCAGCACTTGATCCATTGTATAACTATAGCATTCTTGATAAGGGTTGCATAAGGGAAATTCTGAACGGGTGAACGTTGGCGTCATGTCACTTAAATAGTGAAAACAGGAAGTTTTAATACAATGAAATATCCTTCCATATTCACGGCAGCTAGTTTAGATAATAATAATACTCGGCAAATATTATATATTTTTGTCTTGACATTCGAATAGTAGTATAAGTATTTATCGTCTTGTTTTAATGATGCATTTTATTAGTTCATAATTTCCACGGAATCAGTGACCGCATAGTGTAATGCTTAAAGCGTTATTTGTAAATAAAATAAATATTGAAGAACATCACATACAATGCTCAGATCACAATGTAATATAGTAATCTGAAATAATGAAACTACCGCAATGAACAGAACCTAAAAAAAAAGTTTTTTTTTTACATCAACCCGGTATAAGGTGTAATATTATTATGTGACAGGACTTCGTGGAGTGAATGAGTTAAGCATACTGATCAACTTTTACTATGGGAGCAACACTGAATTATCGAAAATATAATCAGCTGTTTCATACTGTTGGCGATTGTAGGTATTAAAATTTTGTATGAAACAGCTGATTATTTTTTCGTGAATTCAGTGTTGCTCCCATAGTAAAAGTTGATCGGTATGCTTATTTCATCTATCTCACGGAGTCCTGGTATATAATTATATTATATATAATTTATTGAAATTCATATGTTTATATTATATAACTTATTACCTATGTTGAATTTATATATTTCTTTTTGTTCAAATATTCCTTGTTTAAAAAGATAAATTTATTAAAAGCCCTCAAGTCCTCTTTGAGATATTTTTTGGAAATCAACATTTTAAACTTTGTTGCAGGGTTTGGAAATAGTAAATCCTCAAGCAGCCGAAACGAGAGTCAACGAAGCGAATGCAAAATATTTCTCTAATACGTCAGGATTTTTATCCGTCGGAAAGAAGACAACTTGATAGCGATAATTCTTGTATAATGATTTGTATAATTTAAAAATTATGTTTTATGTACTGTGATTGTCGATATCTGTAAGTTTAAATAAAGAATAGTCAGCATTTCTTTTGTTTTATTTGTGCTTGCTTATGACCAGTGTGCCGGAAAGTTGACCAAGAAAAACGTAAGCGTGTCTACACATGGCGAGATTTCACTTGGAGATGGATTACGTTTTGCCGTCTGAGGAACGTGAAGCCGTGAGGAACGTGAAGTTCTAGTATACAAAACTTTTTTTCTCTAATTATCCAATGTGGATCAATTCAAGAAGTTTTTATTCAATAGGATGCTAAATGATCATAATAGCATCGTTTTGTTATAAATGCATTGCAGTAGTGTAGCACAAATTGTTTCTCACAATTATTCTATTTACAAGCAATGATGTCGTTTACTTTGTAGAACATGTTTTTATATAAAAAAAAACTGTTTTGTATGACATAAAGTTTAGACAGAACATAACAATAAATCACATGTATATGTTAATAAATATTTAAAATATCAATAGTACCTTGTACATTAAGTTCATATCGTTATGATAATTACATGTTAATGTCGGAACTTTATCTTTAAGTGGAATGGACTCCCATCGATTATGCGTACACCGATCGAGAATGCGCAGTATTGGAATTAAATCTTAAAATTTTATAGCACCGTTTAAATAAAAAAATATGTCTTAGTATGAAATTTACGTACAAAAGCTGAGATTATGCTATTAAGCTTTCAATTTGGGATGAAATAAGTTAAATTAGTTTTTGATAAAACATTTTAGAAAGAATTGCTATATCCAAAATAAAATAATGCTTTACATGTAAAAGAAGAATAACTGTAGCAGGGTACGAAAATAAAACATTTTTATACATCATTGAATTGAGCTAATTAAATATTAATTGACAGAATACCACCCGATTTAAAGCGCTTTCTTATACCACCCATTGTTATTCCATGTATCTCCGTCGTACTGCTCAACAGTTTGATTAACATTCCATTATTAGAAAATCTGTTTACCGTTCTACTTAGGCATTTCCTTGTGTTTCAATCTGCATTGCGCAAATTGAGATGCGCTACCAGGTCTGATGTTACTAAATACGTTGGCACACGCGAAGGAGGCAATGTTCCACTATAATTATAAAACTAAAGCTTAATTTTATTTAAATTATTATGTTATGGTATATTTGAAATAATTTATAAAGCTTACACGGGATATCCACCTGCCAATCTCTAAGATACTTCTATAGCATAAATTAATTTACACCCACCCACTGTTTGGCTTTGTGTCACAAATTTAATGCTTACAGATCTGTACTGTAAATCTAGTTTTCATTTACACAGTGCGTGTTAATTCTAGTGATTTATGAAACTACAATACAATAACTACTTATTAATAACTCAGACAGTATAGACACAGAAGCCTGTGGGGATGGAAGTTTATTGTTACATTTTTGTTATACCTGTTTATACATAGAACTCAAAGCAAAATAATTCAACTTCCATTGCTTCCACGCTCTTCATAGCGCAGCTGTCAATGCACGCGTGTTCAGTTCAAGGACGACGTGTTACGATTAATATTTAATGACTGCGTAACGGATTAAGGGGAGTACATACACAAGTGAAGATTTAATTTTGCGTGGGTAATGTAACAGTTTGTTTGCGTGGCGTCACGGGCGGTGCTGTTGTGGCAACCGCCTGCCGCCATTTGTTTTATAAATGTTGCATATTCTTAGGCGTAGGCGTAGCAGGTAAGAAAGCGAGGTTAGTAATTTTAATGTAACTCTTCTATATAATTAAACAGAAGTGAACCAACAATCAATTTTGACTGAATTTACTATCCGATTTAGTAATGTAAACCACATGGCATTTGTCAAGTGATTTTTATGTGTGAACTTAACTAAGAAATATCTAAATATTCCATAATTTCTCAGTGTCTTCTGTCACCCGAAGGAGATTACGAACCGTCCGTAAATCTAAACCGATGGCATATTTTTTCGATTTTCAAGAGTTTTTTAATTGCTTTTTTTACAACTATTGCTGCATGTTTTTCTTAATTATATTTAGACATAGAAGTCATTCATATTTGTCAGTTCATGAGCGATCATAGGGTCATTCATGAATAGGGGATAGTCTCAATTAATTTGGTTTCACCCTTCCGTTACAAAAATAAGTTTTACAAGCCCTCAGTCTAGTTTGGTACTTCAACAACTGCAGATAACATATTACTACTGCCTTGTCTATTTTAATTGCAAAATTTTAGTGAAATGTAAAACTATTAACTCGGTTTGAGGCCTGCTTTCGACTTTAATAATTACTATAAAACGATGTACCTAAGCATACAAACGCCACTTTTTAATAATGTAAAGACTTTCATTTTTAGAGTGAGTTATATACGCATGTTCGATTTTACTAGCTTTGCTTTAACTTGCCGTGTTACTTTGTTACTGTCGGTTAAATCTAGCATTTTGATTATCTTCCCATTTTCCGATTGAACTGAAGTTTTCAATGCTTATATAACTTAGATGACAGTTGAATGAATGTCAATACAAGATCTATGGAATGGAGCTGATGATGATGAAATTCAAAGGTAACCATTGAACCTCTAATCAAACGAAGAAAACCCATCTTTGGGTTCGTTTGACAAGGATTTTAGTCCTAAATAATGGTCAGTCTCATGATAGGACTAGAAGCTGGTCATAGGAACTTTGTAATTAAGTACCTTCATATCGCAACTTTATCGTGTTTAAGCTATTTAATTTCTCTATACAACTTCTCTGGTCTAAGATGATATAGAAAAAAAGCTTGTTTTTAAAAAGAACATTTTTGTTTTGAATTATTTCTATATAAGTCATACCTAAAACGAATTAAATAAGTAGTAGTTAAATAATACTGCGATATTTTGATAAATTAATTCTATAAAGTGGGATATTTGCTACAGTTAAATAACGTTATAAAAGCTCTCATATAATCCTGGACTTATCTTCTAATAACAATAAGAGCTAATCAGAAAGTTACATTATTAGTGTTACTGTAACTGTCACGTATACGTGGGTAATACAGGCCTGCTTATGAAGGTTGTTGATATGGTTTTGCATGACGATTGACACCATTGTTAGACAAACTAGTTATGTCCTCAAGCAAATTGGGTAATGCGTATTGTAAAACACTTTTAAAGCTCAGGTGTACATAACACTCTCAACGTTGTGTCATTGTAAAAAAATCAATGCAGATGCCTGCGTTACGTGATGTCGTGTGATAAGACACACCTATACCAAGAAAATACGTTAACGGTTCATTGAAATCGAAAGAGCGAACCTGCTGAGTGAACGTTCTCTGTTAGGAACGTGTATGCAGAAGGGCAACTTCAAAAATGTGGTAGAAAGAATTATACGATATGTATCCAATGTATGAAGAAATAAGTATATAGTAACAGTGTTGTTAATTTCTGCAAAACAAAGGCTTTTATATCATGGAACTCATCATATGCTTTTATTATATAAGTGTATAATTTAAAAACAAAATACATATTAAATTATAGATCGGGTTATGAAACATGACTAAAGAATATTTTTTGTGTTGAAAAATATTAAATATGTATTTTTTTCATTATTTGCGTAATCAATAAAATACGGCGATACTTAGAAATGTCACATGACCTGACACCTATGTAGATTCCCACTTCTAAACTTTGATGTCTTTAATTACTTGTTATTGACGAAAAAATATCTAAGTATGTAATATTTTTCTATTATCTGTTTGTCAGATGATACAAAATATTGCATACGTATTTTATATATACAGGCTAAATAGGTTTTATTTACTCGGGCATCAAGCCTTTTATTTGAATGTGGTTGATATCTTCATATTAACAGCGATATGGCGTGTTGAAAATGCAAGGAAACTTTCTGCATATATCTACATTTTTGTACGTAGCTAGGCGCCGCCGGCCGCGAAGGAACAGGTTCCGAGGTGCCGGCGACATCCCGCGACGACCGCAAGCACGGCGCGCACAGTACTCCACCGGTCGCTCACCTGTATGCGCGTGCGCATCGAACGAACGAAACGCGGGAAACATCTGACGCGTACATACGGATGATTAATTATATACACTGTAAAACTTAAAGTACAGATTACACAGTGCCAATACATTTGCACAACATTTCTTTAAATAATGAGAATTGTTTGGTGTTAGTGTTGTGCAGCCGGTGAATCGCATGCCCGTTTGATAGCATGCTGCGTAGTGGACTAGCCCTTTAAGTGGGTGTAACCATGGCGAGTTTCGAGGATCTCGCTTTCGACTGGTCATCTCTGTGCCAGGAGTGCACTGAATGCTGGACCGAATCAGGTAAGTTATCTCGCATGATGTCCATTCCATACTGACTATTATCACGTTTTGTAGTGACGTAATCTTACAAAAATGTTAACCATGTACAAATTTTAAACATGACGCTAATGGAAGACGAACAATCTTCGTCTAATTCCTTTTTTTTAAACTACCCTCAATTTTATTACTATAATTAATTCATATTCACTACTACACAATATTTATTATTCTTATTAGGTGTATTCAATTTAATGTCTGTTTGGGTTTTGATTGTATACAATCGACATTTAAAATATGTGTTAGTTATCTCTATTACATAGTTTCTCTGATACTTAAAAGTTTTATTGCATTCCATGTTGCAAGTTATGTTATGTCGCGATTTAGCAATGTTTCTTTGATAGAAAAAAAATACAGAAATTTCTGACGTACCATTCTAAAGTTTATTTTTATCAATGTTTTGTAACAAGCTTGAAACGTTAACACAACGCGTTATATTTTCTATATTTTTGGAGGTAGTTTACGTTCATCGTGCTGTAATAATGCTCATAGGATGTTCTCATTCTTCGATAGCAAACAATACTGCTGCAACGGGAGTTGTGTAAATATTTTTAAGATAAACTCACTGTTATATATGATGGTACAACATCAACACACTCGATTACGAATGAATGAATCAATATACTTCTTTCTGTACTGAATACATATCGTGAAAAACCTAGATGTATGTTTGGAATACGATTTTTTACTCGTCATATAATAACACTGGTCAACATGATTTTATGCCATTAATTAAATTATATATTTTTGACATCTCTTACGTCTAAGTATCTACAAAAAAATCGAATATATAAACGATTAACTTTAAACTTGAGAAATTTTGACAGTATGTCGAAAATAAGTATTGTGGTTGGCTATATTAACAAAAACAAGACGTGACATTTTTGAGAACACAACAAACCCTCATATCTGTGCATATTTTCAGTTCGTTAACAGTTGACTCTGTTCAATTTCCAGTACTTTTCAATGGGTTCCATTTGTGAAGATTTTTTTTTAGTTTATTTTCATAAGTTGGCGTTCTAAAGAAGCGTATTATTTAATATGAGTCGAAAATGCTTAAATTCACCCGACCTCTTTTGTTTTTATTTGTGGAGAGTAAACTTCAACTTCTACTCGAAAACGAACTACTACATCGTTACTTTATAACACTTACAACTTGTATTTTGATTTGAACATTCCTGATACTATTAATAAGAGTTGGGCACCTAGGTCTTATTGTTTAAGGTGTGATTAAATGACCAAAAAGTTTTTCGGAAACATGAAGTCTCCAAACTATAAGAAGATAGTTTCTAAGTTACTACAGGATTATAGAGTCTTAGGATGTAATACGTCTTTGAAGATTCATTTTCTTCATTCCCACCTAAACTTTTTCCCAGCAAACTTGCATGCGGTAAGAGACGAGTATGGAGAAAGATTCCATCAGGACATCATGGCAATGGAAAAAAGATACCAAAGAGAATGGTCGCCGAGAATGCTTAAAGATTTTTGTTTCACATTAAAACGCGATTATTCGTCATATAGTTATAAGAGACAAGCAAAGAGAACAAAAACATCCTCAGAATAATACTTTAAAAACAATTCAAAATTAAAGTAATTTTTTTAAATAAACATTTTTCGAAGAATCTGGGTGTTTCTTTTTTTTTGATTCACATATTTTAGATGATATCATATTAAGGTATGAAAAAATAACACTTACGATAAACGGCAAAAAAAAAATTTTTGTTGACCAGTGTAATGAGCGGAAATATTTAAATAATGGTTTGATAATGTTTGGCTAATAACTCTTTTTGTCTGTATGTTCACGTGAGATCTGTCGTTGTCGGACAGAAGGAAACTGGTGCCACAAGGCACAAATTTGAAGAAGAATACTTAACGAATGATGATCATATTTTTGTGACCATACTTTATGATCGTTTGATATTCAGTTAACAAAAGTGTCGAATACATGGTTTATAGTGTGTGGATTTGTTTTTGTTAATTTAATGTATTTTTTATTGAAACATGATAATAAAAAAACCATTCGTTTTTGCACTTATCCATATAAACTTTGCCGAATTTAATATGTAATCTATATATATACAACTGAAAGGTGACTGACTGACATAATGATCTATTAACGCACAGCCCAAACTACTGAACGGATCGGGCTGAAATTTGGCATGCATAAAGCTACTATGACTTAGGCATCCCATAAGAAAGGATTTTGATCAATTCTACCCCCAAGGGGATAAAATAGGAGATGAAACTTTATTTCAGGTATTTCACACGATTTAATGAATAAATATTCGTTAGAAATGCTACACAAAGTAACTTTATCACGCGGACGAAGTCGCGGGTAAAAGCTAGTTTTTGATATAGTTTTTGCTATGCTGTATTACCTATCTATATTGATAATTATGTCAATCAGATGTTATTTACCTTTTTCTGTTATTAATTTTCATATATTAAAAGTGTATTATTTGTTTGATAGTACATTTATTGATCATAAAGGTGCAAATTACCTAAAAATGTTTAGAAGACCATTTTCTTAACATAAAAATGTAGTCTTCGGTGATCCCGTTAACTTTAATTGTAGTTTGCAATTAACTTTGACGTTTATTTTGGGGTATAAAATTTAATATGAGGAAATGGAAAATAGAGAAATTCATCTTTACTAGAAAATAAAAATGGTTTCGATTTTTTTCTAAAATTAAATAAATAATGAAAATAAAGAGTTTTTTTTAAATAGAACCAACTTTTAATATAAAAAAAGTGATAATACTTATTTCAAAAGCGACTTATTCAAGATAGGCGCCGGATATTGATATTTTTTCTATAATACTAGCTTTCCGCCAGAAGCTTCGCCAGCGCGGTACCTGGGAAAATGTTTATTTGGATATCGATTCATATCATGACACATTGACATAAATATTATTACAATGGCAAATTAAATAATAAACAGTCGTTACTATGGTAACGTATTCGTTCCCTATACGAACGTCCACTCCTATTTTAATCCCTTTATTTGCTGTTTTTTCACCTACATACTTTCATAACATAGAAACTCCTTGAACATAGAAAATTCTCCTTTCGAAAGTCAAGGACCTCCTCAGGATGATCAGGACTTTACAGCGGATGTATTAACACCTCACAGCCAAACTCTTATTTTTTTTCTAAGTGGCATAAGATGTGTGAGTTCTAGCGTTATCATGATGAAAAACTACACCTCTTCTATCGATCAATTCTGGCCCTTTCAGTTGTTCGCAGTAGATTTCAGAATCGATAATAATTCTGGTGGTCTGAGCTCATAATGAATAATGAATGACATTCCAATCCCACCATACACACAGCATCACCTTGTTGCGAGTTAATTCGGGTTTCGCTACAGTCTGTGACGCCTGGCTTACCTTTGACCACGACCTTTTTCGCATGTTTTCAGTGAGCTCGTTAGGGACCCAAATATACAACTTTTTTGGGTTCCCATTTTTTTTCAAATGCGCCATAACTGTTTTGTTGTAATCCTCAGTTCTTCAGCTACGTCTAAACTACTGAAATGCCGATCTTGCTTTACTTTTTCAAAACTGGCATCCACTTTTATCCGTAACACGGCGACCAGAGCGACGCGTAACCATGACATCAAAATTTTCGGACTGAAAATAAATTAAATGTAATTGCACAAATTTCATTTAATCGTTATACTCTCACAAAAACTTCACTAGATATATAGAGATTTTTTTGGCGGCTTCGTTGCATTTTTAAGTTTTATGTAATATAATTTTAAAATGTATCGAATTTCTTCATGAGATTTACTCATTTTGACAGTAAGAAAAACAAATGAAAATCACACATTTTCCAAATTTGAATTCGGAGTTATTTTCCTTAAAGATTAAACTTTATAATGGTACCGAAACTAGCCAGATACAAATAATATAGCCAAAAAGATTATATGACAAGTTTATGTATACTACATATATCTGAAAATACTTTTGCCCAACCTAATAATTACTAAACCTGAATATTAAAAATAACATCCTAAGAAATTGACGACTGTTTTGAAATTTTGAAAGTAATATCTATCAATCATTCTAAAGTTTCTGATAAAAGTAGTTCACACGTAATAAGATATTCTTTCAGACATCTATTGCAGATGGTCCTAGTCCTACTCATATTATAAAGAGGTCGCTAAGAAATATAATTGAAAGAACATAATCATATTAAACACATATAGGTATAAATAAAATGACAGATGCCGTAATATGATTTAAGGCATAATTATGAATTGTCTAGATCCCTATAATCAATTATTAAAAAGACGCCATGATAAATTGACTGATTTTCTCCGGAGATCTCCGATGAATTCATTGATTATTTTATGTACTTTTTCACTTTTATATATTCTATGAGAAATCACAAAAATAAGATATAAAAAATCAATCGGAAACTAACCTTTCTGCCTGAAGAGAAAATATGAAAACATAACTTTAAATAGCTACTGATCTTGAGGTTTAATTGAATTTTTCAATAGTTTTAGGAAATTGCAATAAAGACATGGAAAGAGTAAAGTCACACGTTTATATAAAACAAAGACCCCTTGCCGAGTTTGTCTGAGTATAAATTGTTATAAACGTAATAAACACCAAAAAGTAACCATTAGATTTAATTTAGATTTCACCTATGGACGGATTAATTAATGAAGAAGCTTTTGTGTAATAAATCCATGAAGGCTTATATAGATTGTTTGAAACAGATATGACTTAGAATGTTAAAAATGTCTGAAAAATATATGGCATTTGGAAGTACTTATGAGTACAGTTAAGATTGATAGTTATATAGTAAAGTATAATATTGAATGACCACTAATACAACATTACCAGCGTCAAACATCTCGCTTTCATAAACACACAATAGCGCTACAGTTGCAGGCAGTATTAAGGTGAGGTGCATCAAAGGTATTCTGAATAGGAGATTTATCGACAACAAGATAATCGAATTCAGACAAAATTTGCACAGTATAATGTAAAATAGCTCTTAAATAACAACTTAGATACTATTTGTAGACGTCAAAAGAAATGTGTTTTAAAAGTTTATTAAGGTTTATTAAGGATTATTTTTTATGTATTTCTTAAGTATGTGTAATAGGGGGTATAGACACACGCCGAGAAATCTCGCCGAGCGTTCTTGGCGGGAAAAAATGTAAAGGAATGAAAAGATGAGAAACATATCCCATTCACGAGTCTTGGGTGTACTCGAGGCTTCTCGGTGTCAGTCTGTGCAGCCTAATATATTGTAACAAACAGAACGTCTACAAAATGTTTATTTTTCTCATTAATGCTGTCACTCTGCATATATAAGGTAAGTAGCATGTTTACGTCAGAATGATGCTGGAGAATTTTCACATATCACTGTTTGTTTGTAATATAACATACAGCGTAGTATAATAAGTTTTTCTAGCAGCTATTTCTACATGTGGTTGAATTTTACAACATTCCAGTTTAGGCTGTCTGTTATTTGTAAACGAGTAGGTTATTATGTTTATCACGGAATCTTTGAAAGAAATGTTTAAAATTACATTACTGGACATAAAAGTATGTGGTTGAATCTAAAGATCCATCTAAAACAAATTTCAATACACAAGAAGGTTTTCAAGCACTTTTCCCGTCTTAAATATCAAAAAAATCTATTTAATATCTGAATTAACTAATGGCCCGAGCATTAGATTGATCTTCCTTATTAATCAGGAAAAATGCTCGAATACTTTCAAATAACTTGAGAAGTTGTTTGGTGTGTATTTTTAGATTAGAATATTTTCAAGTCCAGTATATTCCTGTTGTACATTTTTAACACATAATATTAATAATCGTTAATTAAAATTGTCTCATCCGACCACGTATTTATTAAATTACAATTATTAAAATCTTATATTTTATTAGTTCCAAAACACATCGCAAATATTCAGGTCTGCAACAATACCAATCTCCAAGACGTGATTTACGATCTTCGCATCTCAAGCGCGTTATACAGAAAGCTATACTCCGTTTCACTTTCATTTTTCACCTCAAAGGTATTAATTAAAATGTGGCAACGTCGTATCACTCTCGCACCAATTAACTATTATTGTCCCAGTTAAATGGTTTAAATTAACTAGTTAAGTCATTCAGGTGGTCCGCTGTATTCTCACGGGCGATGATCAATTGTTGCTTGTCATTGACCTCCGGTTGCGTGAAGTTACTTCACAGTCAATTTGTTTCGGTTATACTATTTGGTTAATTTTGACTAAATAATATACTATAACAACTATATATACAAACATCGTGGTGTATTATGATATTAATGGAATTGATCGTATCCTACCATCACGTTTTTGTATTTATTAATAAGTCTGTTCATACACATCTTCTTCCATCAAGGCTAAAGATTGTTAACTAAATTATAGGTGTTCCTCTAATTCTTTTGGAACTGTATGGAAAGTTTCCAGTGCAATTTTTATCTTATTTTAAGATTTATTAGTATTACTAATCATCTTTGTAATATTTATATTGTACCAATTATAGTGTCATTCAATTATCATTAAATATTTCTTTTCCGCAAATTAACCTTATCGTTAGAATATATATAAATCTAGTTAAAATGCTCGAACATTTTTTATATAATAAATACTATATTTTGTAAGAGCAACCAAATTTTGGGTATAGTAATTGCGTATGAAAATTATAAGAAAAAACAACAT